ATGTTCAGGCCTGGCTGTGGTCTTCGCAGCCAGCTGAGCGGTCTCCCGTCTTGGTTCCGTGACGGATGATGCTGACACAGGTGGCCTGTTCCTCTGGGCTCCGCATAGCATGCTGGCCACGTTCCCCTCACACTGCCCAAGCAGAGCCCCCCGAGAACCTGCACCAGACAGGCTTCTCCCCGGAATCCCAGCACAGAGCGGCCTTCTCAGTGGGGAGCGGGGCAGTGGCAGCCACGTCAGGCAGCCCTGCCTGTCACAGCTGATGGCCCCAGTCTTCACTGCCATGGAAAGAATTCCATTAAAGAGCAGAACTACGAGACCAGCCAGAAAAACCATTAAGAAGAGAAAGTACTAAAGCCCAGCAGCTGCAGAAGATATTTAAAGACCCGAAATTATGTGAAATTGGATAGGAGCAATTGATTATTATCAAAAAATTGTCAAATGCCAGGTTTGGGCACAAGAAGAAACGAAAGGTCAGAGCATCCCTCCTGGGCCAGTGGGAAATGAGGACATGAAGGCAGCTAAGTCCTTTTAAAGCCGTTTAAGCGGGCCGCGGCTGTGTGCGCGTCATCTCAGCACAAGTGACAGAGCTCAGGGGCGCTGTGCCGGGAAGATCCCAAGCGCGGCCCTGTCGTGAACGCGGAAGGACTGTCTTGCTTCTGGGAATGGTGAAGTGCAAGCTTTCCAGTTCAGACGATCGTCATTCTGATCCCTGTTGAGAAAATGAGATTAGACTCCATTTAGACCACATTTGGCCTGATGATGTATAGGACCTCCCAGGGCCAAAAAACAATCCCAAACCTGCATAAATCCTGAAGTGAGATGAGATGTCAGGGAGAGACATGGTGATAATCTGGATTATAAAATGCCAGAAGCTTCTAATGGAGGGATATGTTTTAGTTCCATAAATCCTCATGAAGTAGGTAAATACTCTCAACCTGAGACCAGTTCAGATTAGGTAGCCTGCCCATGGGGTCTATTTTTTGTTTTGTTTTGTTTTTATTGACTTTAGAGAGAGAAAATAGGGGAGAGAGAGAAAGAGAGAGAGAGAGAAAGAAACATCTATCTGTTGCACCCTGCATGCACCCCGACTGGGGACCAAACCCAAAACCCGGGCAGTGCCCTGACCGGGAATCAAACCAGCGACCCTTTGGTGCATGGGATGATTCCCAACCAACTGAGCCACGCCGCCTTATCAGGTCGCGTGTGACTTAGGGAATCTGGGGAATATATGAAGGTTGCAGTGACTATGTTCCTTTCTGTCCAGGGCTGGGTTTCTCAGTCTTGGCACTGTTAATATTTGGGCCAGATAATTCTATGTTGTGGGCACTGTCCTGTGCATTGGAGGGTGTTGGACAGCAACTCAGGCCTCTACCCACTAGATGCCAGCAGCATCCCTCCACCCAGCTCCCCCCAGTTGTGACCTCCATCAATATTTCCAGACTTTGCCAAATGTGCCGGCCCCCCCCCCCCCCCCCCCCGCCGGAGGGTGGCAAAATCCAAACCCCAACCCCCTCTGAGAATTACTGCTTTCGGATGACCAGCCAACCTGCCACCCCAGTTTGCCCAGGACTGAGGAGTTTAGCTTGTGGGATTTCCATTGCTGTAACCAGGACAGTCCATGCAGACTGGGAAGGGTGGGCCCCTCAGCTAGGTGCCATTGATACGTTCTATATCAGACTCAGGATTAAAAGTAAGAAACGAAGTGTTTTGAAAAGTCTATCTTTGACGAAGGCCTTTGGGGAAACACAGTCTCATTCCACGGCAGCATGCTTTGTAATACTGTAAAGGCTTTAGAAACAAACGTCCATCTTTTCCCTCATTGTCTCCAAACCTGTGCTCTGGCGAGTGGGCCATTGGGAGCTTCGGCCCTGGCCAGCGGACAAGGTAGCATGATTAGAGCTACGCCGCCTTTCTGGAAGAGAGATTCTTGTTTGACACCTAGTAGTGAGTTTGAGTGACAGACTTCTCCTTAGAACTGTAGGCTGTGTGACAGGATGCATCACGAAGGTGACAGCAGCGGTGGGGTCTAATTTAATCCCACTTTTGTTAGCAGCCCCGATAAATCATTACTGCAGAGCAAACGAAATTTCACTTTCTCAGACAAAAATGATTTGAATGGTGATGCGCTCTGAGGAAATGAGGGTCTGAGAGAAGGTCTGTTCATGGGCTTAAAAATACTTATACTTCCCTGGCCAGCTTGGCTCAGTGGTTATAGTGTCGGCTCCATGGACCGAAGAGTCTTGGGTTCGATTCCCGGTCAAGGGCAAATACCTCGGTTTCAGGTTTGATCTCCCTTCCTGTTTGTGGTCGTGCGAGATGCAACCAACAATGTGTCTCTCTCACATTGCTGTTTCTCTCTCTTTCTTTCTCCCTCCCTCCCCACTCTATCTAAAAATTCATGGGAAAATGTCCTTGGGTGAGGAGTAGAACATATATATATGTTTCCACTGACGAATCCTAGAACGTGCTGCAGATGCCCCTGCACCTGGGAAATGGTTTGTACCAGAAGGGCCTTCCCCACACTCATTACAAGAGTCGCATAACATCGTACCAACCACCTTGGCTAAATGATTGTGTTTTTCAGGGTGTCTCATTGGAAAAGGTAATTGACTAGTGCTGTGGATCCTGCAAGAGTTCGTGAATGAAACAGCTAAAAGGATTCCAGACTCTGACCATCTACAAATAAGAACAATCTCAATGCGAATGGCAAATTGCCAGTGTTTTTCATCTTCCTTCCAGAAAATGCTTGCTGCTTAGGAATGTGCTCCTGCTGGGAGGCTTTTAAAATAATATAGGGAATGAATTATGGAAGGAGGGTACTTGGGTCTCAGAGTGCCATACTTGAGGACCTAATGGATCCAGGGAGGGTGTGGTGTAGATGGAACCCCTCCCCAAGGAAGACCAAGGAGAGTGGGCCCTTTGTCTAAGCTCCACCATGCCTGGCCTACTTTGGGGAGGCCCTGTAATCCTGTTTTGGTCCATTAAAAGCACAAGACAATCACTTGCCTATGAGTAGACCCCACTTCTTCCTACACTACCCATCGCCATATCGTTCTGGGGTTGGGAGCAAAAGAGAGGGAAGGAACCCAGGGCGAGTTTAGCTTGTGACCATTTCCCTCAAGAGGGCCCTCTGCAGTCAGTCTTCCCATATGCGACTGGCCCCAGGTTTCTTCCTCTTCAGGGACTGAAAGAGTAAATCATGGCAGAGGCTGTGAACCCGTCGGGAAGCAGCCTTCCTCCCGAGCAGTGTGAGTGTGAGTTGAATGAGCAGCCACCGCAGCGACGATTTCCGAGGACTGAGCGGTTCTGCAGGGGAGCAGCGGGAAGAATGGCTGTCATTCCAGAGCTGCGGGCTCTGTCCCCCAGCCCACCTGAAACAGCGTCTGCGTCACTCCCCTGGCTCAGGGGAGCACTCATGTCCCCTCTGTTTTAACCCTGATGAATGGCCCAGGGCTTTGGGTTAGGTCCAACTGGCCAGCCATTGAAAATACGTATTTGTCTTTTAAAGAGCAGGTCCTGGATACTGTCAGAAACAATTAGAGAAGACATACAAGGTACACAGTATTTTACTGGCTCTGGTTGTCATTTCATTCCGTGTCCAGGAGGGACTGGGGATTTGGGGTTCTGGAAGCGTGACGCCCCCCCTTTCCTGGTTACAGCAGCTTGGAATTCAGAGCTGCCTCGCGGAGCCTGTGCCGCCAGCCCGCGGCCCTCGGGAGCCAGCGTCTGTGTCACCGAGCTGGGCCGCTGCACCTAGACCGCGGCGTCCCAGACCCCGAGCTGTGGGTACCAGAAAGGAAACAAACAGAATGCTAGTATCTGGAAAGACAGAAACCCTAGGGTGCACTGCTGGGGGGAAATAAAATCGTGCAGACATAGTTAAGGAATATATATTTAAATACAATTTTTAAGGAAGCCTCTGGGCCTGTCCTATGCTGGCGAGTTTGCCTCTGAAGGCAAACAAAACTTAATTAGCCCTTGGTTTACAAAAGGCCTTGGGACCGGTGTGCTTGGGTTTGCTTTGTTTCACGGATCTGTGTTCTGCACATGCCTGCCTGGGTCCCTGCCCCAGAGGCGCGGCTCTGTCATCGGCTCTGTCAGCGTGTGCTGTTTCCAGCGCCGTGGCGATGAATTGCCGAAAACTGGGTGGCTGAAAATGACACAGATTTGTCCTCTCAGTGTTCTGGAGGCCAGCAGTCTGAAATCAAGGTGTCGGCAGGGTTGGTTCCTGCTGGGACTCCGAGGGAGACACTCCGTTGCCCTCTCCCGGCGCTGGGTGTGCGGCAGTCCTCGGCGTGTCGCTGCCTCGCTCCGTTCAGTGTCCGCCTGCATCTTCCCGTGGCCATCGCGGACCTCGGAGACTTCACCTGCAGACCATTAACTGGATTACACCTGCGAAACCCTATTTTCAAATAAGGTTCAATTCCTACGTTAGGATGTGGCTATGTCTTGGAGGAGACAAAAGTTAACCGACAACGTTCACCAAGGAGTTACCTTTTGTTTCCCTTTGTATCCCTAACATTGCTACTCTGTTGGTTTGGTCCACTTTCAAAACATGGCTCGTTTGGATTGTTAAAGTGACGTCTGGCTCTAACATTTGCCCCTTTCCCCCAGTGTTTGCATTTAAACATCCCTTCATACTACTCCTGCCCTATCATGCCTGGTAGACAAAGGCCAGGCTGGCCAAACCCTTTAAACGTAACCCCTCCCAGCCATGAATTCTCATGTCCTTGTAAATGAAGTCTAAGAGCACAGGCTTATGGCCCTGTGAGGCCCCCACACCAGGCTGTAACCTCTGCCTTCACACATTTGAAGAACACGTGACTATGCAGGGGACACAGTGAACCATGCGGAAGACCGGGGCCTGGGGAAGAGGCGGCTGCAGACAGAAGTCCACCTCGGAGCTCCTCGGAGCTCTCAGTGTGTCCCGAAAGATGTGGCGGCAAAGCGAGGCTCTGGACACACTCTGATTGCCTTTTCTTCTTTCTTTCTTTTAGCAAACTGCCTAGTTGGGCCAGAGCTGTTGTTCCCAAAATATTTTATGTTACGGAGAAGGCTTGGAACTATTATCCTTACACGATTACAGGTAAGTTCACTGTGCAGCTGGTATGTTACATGTGGCAGTAAGACAGAACAGTGGTCAGATTTCACCGAATTCGGGTTTGTTATCCCAGCAGAGACTTGTGGGAGACCCCTAACATCCTTTTAGGTCATAGCTCTTCCTAGCAGGGGGTGGGGGTTTTAAGCTAAACAATTTCACTTTCCTCCTTAAAGTGAGTGTCGAGAATAGCTTTTGGAGAAGAAAAGTGACGCTCTTTTAGTGACATTTCTAGAGGTTTCATTATCCTTATTGCTTTCTGATTTCTCAGTAATTTGGGGGTGTGGTTTGTTTATTTTGATTTGTTTGTTTTATAGTCCTCCCTTTATCCCCCCCGCCCCCCAAAGAACACCTTGACTATAATTTATGTAAAAGATTCTGTTGGGTCCCTCTGTCCCAAACTACATTGAGGTAACCTCTATGCTGATAGTAAACTAGAAATCGTGGCCATAAATTTAGAAGGCTTAGTTCCTGCCCTGAAACACATGGAAATTCAAGATCCCACTTGAATATCATCATAAAAAGCTCTTCTTATTGGTTATGAAAGCTGCTTTTCCACTTAAAAGATTTCATGTGTGGTTAATGAAATGCTCTACTAGAACGATTAGTCTTTAATTCTGCTTTTACAATGCCAACTCTTTGGTTTTTAATTAGCCACAAACCCATAGGCTAATTGAATCTTGTCTTACAGTCCTTATCCGACCAACCACCAACGTACAGTATGAAAGAGTTTCAAGAGAAAAAATGGAAACATTCAGTATTTATGAAAGTTTAATTTTTGGAAAGTTTCTTTACCACATTTTAAATAATTATATTGCACTGTTATATGTTAGTTGTATGGTCTTATATCGCATATAAATTATCTAAATCATTTTTCTCTTTTTTCTTTTCCCTCTTGTCCAAATGAACCTCTGGGACCAGAATACACAGTAAGTTTTATTTAATCATTTTTAAAAATTCAGCATACAATAAGTTGATTAATTGGAACTTCCCTTGTGTACTTCTCATCTTATAAATGTAATAAAAATATAGGGGAATAATTCAGAATCAGAAATCTTTAAATGTTGGCTCTTACATAGTTATATATGATGTAATAACTTGAATGCTCTCGTGTTCCAGAATATGAGTGTTAATTTAAAATGCCTTGAGAGTTGCTTTACATAATTAACTTTGCTTGTATTTTTAAATAGCTTAACTGCTCTACTTGTGATAGTTCACTGTACATAAGAACAGGTTCTAGAAACGTGGTATTAAAGAGACAATGGTAGTTATCAGTGGAAGATGGCATTTATACTTAAAGGCTGTGGTTCTCCTTATAGGAGTACCTTGAAATGAGAAAGATGTACGTTCAAACTATTTTCCTAAGAGCTCTGGATTGGACAGTCTTTGTAGTTTGATAAAATCATTTAATTTCTTCTTGCCCTAAGAGCCTTTCGAGCCATTACTTCCATTAAAAAAAAAAAAAAGACCCTAAAATATACTGTGTTGTGGTATTTCCATTGGATTGTTTCCCCAATGGCCAACAGGTCAGACTGTCATAACAAGAAAATGGTTAACTGAACTGTGATGGAGCTTAGTTTTTGGTCTTAATCACAGTCACCGAAGGAAAGAGGGATTGTGAGAGAGAAGTGGATAAAAATGATTCATACTCTGCACATAGTAGATGCTCAATGAATGGTTACTGAATGAATGAGTTCATTCTCAGTGAATTTGTGAATTCATAACTTAACGAATAGTTATTGAATTGAAGGAATGCATGAATCAAAGACAGATAGTCCAAACAGATACAGCAGAAGTATCACCAGCTTTGGAGCTGATTGGCCTGAGTGTCCCCTGGCTCTGCCGCTTAGTGGCTGAAGTTTTTAAGTGGGTGACTCCCAAGAGCCAGTTCTGAACTTCATGCTGGTCAATGACTGTGTTCTCACTTGTTCTTTGCAAAATTAAAAAATAGAACTGATACTCAAAGTTTTTCATAAAATTAAGTGTGTGTCACTGAAAACTGGAATAAATTACATTCCTCGTTCTTGGACATTAAAGTGTCTAATGTCCATAACTTCAAAAACGGGCAATTCTATGGCAAAATGTAAATTTCACATTTTGGAAGCAAGGGAACCACAACTCTAGAACAAGCAGCTTAATTTCTTTGCACCTGAGTTTCTTCATCTCTAAAATGGGGCTAATCCCTCTTTTATACTGTTCTTGGTAGCAGGATTCAGTGGTCTGACATAGGGGTAAGAAAGCTTCTGCTATAAAGGATCATATGGTAAATAATTTCTGTTTTGTGGGCCGGTCTCTGTCACTGTGAAAGCGCCCACAGACAATACGTAAAGATATTGGCATGGTCATATTTGCCCAGGCAACAGGCCAGATTGGCCCCCAGGCTGTCGTTTGCCAACCTCTGACGTGATGTATAGAACGCTATTAGCACATCTGTACATAACAAGCAATTAAATGGTTCCCCATGAACACAAGCCCCCAGTTCCTTGGCTTCTAACAATTGCACGATCCTCAAGGGGAAGGCTTTGGAATCTTCTGAATCCTCGTTCTCAGTTGTGCACATTGCTTTCTTTCTTTTCTTTTTTTTTCTTTATTAATTTTTTTAAGAGAGAGAGGAAAGGAGAGGGAAAGAGAGAAACATCGATGAGAGAGAACATCGACTGGCTGCCTCCTGCATGCCCCCCACTGGGTATCGGACCCACAACCTGGGCATGTGCCCTGACTGGGAATCGAACTGGCGTCCTCTTGGTGCATGGGTCAATGCTCAACCACTGAGCCACACTGGCTGGGCACATTCTTTTCTTTTAAGCCTCCATTTCCTCATCTGCAACTGGGGGAAATGTATTACCCTTTCTCACGAGGGTGATATGAAGATTCTGTTAAATAATCCATATAAAATCTCAGCCTGGTCCTTGGTCCATGGTAAATGCTCAGTAAATAAATATTCATTGTGCCCTGGCCAGTTTGGCTCAGCGGTTAGAGCATCGGCCCATGGACCAATGAGTCACGGGTTTGATTCCAGTCAATGGCACGTACCTCGGTTGCTGTTCATCCCCAGCCCTGGTTGGGGTCATGTGGGAAGCGGCCACTCGATGTGTCCCTTTCATGTCGATGTTTCACTCTCTCTTTCTCTGTCTTCCTCTCTCTCCCTCCCACTCTATCTGAACAAAAATGGACAAAAGTCCTTGGGTGAGGATAAAAAATATATATATTTTTTAAATAAAATAAAATAAATGTTCATTGTTATTATTTATGTGCAGTGGTAGAAGCTGCCATCACAAAAATGGGAGTTCTTTGGGCAAATAAGTGGGACTATATTTTGGTGCCTCGACAAGTTTGGGCTGTAGTTATTAGACTCATGGTACTAATTGTCTAGGATAGCATTTAATTTTATTGCTCTCTGATAGAATCCCGTTTTGTGCTTCTGCGAAAGCTTGTGCCTGGACTTTTCGTTTGAAATGTAATCTTGACCCTGTAACTACACCAAGGCAGTTATATGCCTGGTAAGCCTTCGAATGAGGTCGCTTTGACTTGACCCAGAACTGATGGCATTACTCTCCATAAGCTCATGACAGTACCTTGATTAATTGAATGAAGTCTGAGAAACAGTTAATGATTGTGTGTTCATTTCTTAAGACTGTGTTAAACGAACTGAGGTTCTCAAAACAGAATGCAACAGGACAAACATCATGTTTCCTGACAAGGCACCCCACGGGGATGTGCTCCCTAAGGCAGCCCTCCCACGGGCTCTCCTGACAGCCCCCAGGCCTGAGCCTGTCTCCTGTGTAGGCCACAGGGTTTCCGAGAGACCCCTGGCCTTTCCTTCTGCCCAGCCTCTGCCCCACAGTGCTCTTGCAGTTCAGACTTTTACAGGGACACAAATCATTTTATTTCTGTTTGAGGAAATTTGGGGACAAAACATAAAGAAGTTATTTATAATTGGCTAGCCTCACACTCCTGCTGTCTGGAGGCTAGAAGTTCAAGATCAAGTATTGGCTGATTTGGTTCCTGGTGAGGGCCTTCTTCGTGGTTTGCTGAAGATGCCTGCTTGCTGTGTCCTCACATGGCCGAGAGAGAAAACGCAAGCTGTCTGGTCTCTTCTTCTTCTTTTTTCTTAAAAATATTTTTTCTTTATTGATTTTTTGTTTGTTTGTTTTTAGAGAGAGGAAGGGAGAGGGAGAGAGAGATAGAAACATCGATGAGAGAGAACATTGATTGGCTGCCTCCTACATTCCCCCCACTGGGTATTTGGCCCACAACCTGGGCATGTGTCCTGACCAGGAATTGAACTGGTGACCTCCTGGTGCATGGATTGATGCTCAACCAGTGAGCCATACTGGCCGGGCTGGTCTCTTCTTCCAAGGAACTAACCCCATCATGAGGGTCCCAGTCTCCATGACCTCATCTAAACCCAGTCACGTCCCATAGGCCCCATCTCCAGATAGCATAGCAATGGGGGTTGGGGCTTCAACATGAATTTGGAAGCAGGCACACAGTTCTTACATAGCATGCTCATTCCAGGGTGAGTGATGTCATGGGATTCTGGCCACTGAGACACATGGAGCCCACAGTGTTGACTGTGAGGTCAAGGCCTGGACTTCATTCTCCACAGGGAAGCAACATTGCTCCTGTCTAATCCACTTTTATTTTCCACCCCAAATATAGGACAGCTTTTCTTTCTGTCTCCAGTGACGGGGAACCTGGGCTCTTCTCTCTGGCTGCAGGTGCCTCCTTCCCATTGACCTGGCCTCAGCTGTGTTCTCATGCTCCGCCCACCACAGCCTCTGCTCCCAGGATTTACGACAGATGCTTTCAATGGTCTTCATCTTTTTTTCCTGTTTTGAATGCTTTTTATTTGGACTCTTTATCCCCTGGTCCTTTAATCCTAAATACCTCTTCTTGATGTCTTTCCAAGCGTCATCTTTCCTGTCTGTGCCCCACAGCAAAACTTCCCCAGTGCCAAACTCCCAATTCTCGGGACCAAGCCCTACCCTGCCTCATGGAAACCAGACAGGTGTCTCTTTTCATAGGATTAGCCCAGAGCGATGTTTGTGTATTCCTAGGATCCCCTAAGTCTTATACCTGACTGTCTAGCCTATTACGGAGACCTCATGCTGCCCTCATTAGTGACAGAATCCAGCCAAGAGAACTTTCTATTTAGGGCCATCTAGGGCTTCAACATTATCACAGTTATAAAGATGGAAAAGCTTTTCATGACGGTGAGTGACTCTGTGTGTTTAGGATTATGTGGAAATGCGATTTGCCCAGGAAATGGAAAAAGAAAAAGTCTTTAGCTTGGTTATAGGAAAAACCTTAATTATGCGATGAACAAAGAACAACACGACGACAGTTTTCCAGAGGATAAACCATCTAACCAATCCATCAGAACCTGCTGGCCCTTCTGAAGTCTGTGAAGTCACACAGGTGCCCGAGGAGCCTGGCTTTGTTTTGCGAGGACCAAAAAAGGCAGCGCTGGAGTGTGCCCAGAACCCAGCAGCATCCATGCAGCCTCAGGAACAATGAACGGGAGAAAGGGTTTTCTTCTCATCTGTAAGAGTTTGACAACCTCTAAACTATAGTGAGTCGATAGGAGTGGCCTAGAATATACAGTTGCTATCAATATTTTGCGATTATGACCATCTCACTCCACCAAAACATCTTTTTTCTTTTAAACAATTCAATTGCCTTTTGTCTCTACACTTTCTTATTTTATTTTATTTTTTATTGATTGATTTTTAGAGAGAGGTAGGGAGAAAGAGAAAGAACATGGATTAGTTTTTCCCCTTGTCTATGCATCCGTCCATTGGTTATTTTTTTTTTTTTTTTTTTTTTTATCCTCATCCGAGGACATTTTTCCATTTTTTTACTCAGAGTGGGAAGGAGAGAGAGGAACAGAGAGAAACATCGATGTGAAAGGGACACATCGAGTGGC